ACTCTCAAAGCCAGCAAAAACTTATATAAGCATCAAGCCATAATATACTCATTTACTAGAGCGTCAGAATGTCTGTAAGAGCTTCACCTGCACATATCCGGATGTCGGTTATTCCCAGATAGAAGTTCGACTTACAATACATGCTTCGGATTTAGAGCTGACGGTTTCACTTAGTTCTATTGCATAATACTATCTAACTTATTTTAGTGAAGTATGCGATGTGTAGAATCAAAGAAACGGCATAAAAATGCACCAACACGTATTTCATATATTTTCCTATGGGTATAAGCCGCATCTTTCACTTCTGACCCTTCATCCATGTTTTAGTTCATTAGAAATCTCTGCAGGGCTCAGCAATCAACATTAAGACAAGGTTTATGTTGTTCATTGGGACCGACCGACCGACCCGCTTATTGGATCTACGTAGAAAAAATGAAATTTCAAGGTAGATCTACGCAACTCGGGCGGGTTTGCCTCTTTCCGAAAGTAGCGGCCACCGTCAGATTAGAACATGGCTTCCACATATGATTCTAAGATAATTTTGGCGATAATGCGATATACGACGCGAAGTCGTACCACAGCCCTGATAACATGTCCGATCCATATTAGTAGCATATGTATTTAGCTGCTAACAACGTTGGCTTGTCAGTTGCGCGCTGCTGATATTGCTGTGCTTGAGGCTAGGTGCAAAAAATACAATTTTTGTCATTACTTTCGTGTGCTTAACGAAGACGTGTGTTCGTTAGTTTTCGTCAATCATCGACCTGTTCAACTGGGGTGCTCGTATATCTGCGAACCACCTCTGAGAGTGGATGCATCGCACAGGAATGAATCTTTAGATCTATGGTACCAGAGACGCGAATCCTTCTAGAAATTTGCACCAAAAAAATAGTCCACCAAAAAAATTGTTTTCCACTAGAGATTTGTTCGTGAGCAAATTCAACGTAGACGCACGTTGTCGTGCAGTTCCTACGCTAAAGATTAAAAGAGAGCGTGACATTGTTTCGACTCAATCTTAGAGCTATATTGATGTACGGCATGTTCTACGTAGTCAGTTCTAGATCAGATCTTGTTCATACGTGTGGCTTTATTCACAGATTGTCCTACCATTTTTATATGTCTACTACATTACTAGAGCGCTCTTATGTGCGCCAGAATATCTGGTGGCTTATTTTAACCGATGTGGCACAGATATGTTATGGATAAACGGCGACAGAAACAGTTTTTGTTCCCTTATCAGCGATTAGGTAAAAGCTGTTACCGTTGTTCTCGGCTAAAATAAAATAGCAGCAGGTATAATCTATTGGTACAATATAATATACTCTTTACTCACACCTCCGGAGCTATAATTGATTAAACCGAAGATAAACTGCGATTTGCGACCTCTGGAAGATTAGTGCCATCCAAGGGGTGATACTCTGACTCAGAGTAATCATTTGAACTTTAATTGAGACTAAGCAGAAGTTACTATAACGCACAAACTAAGCAAGCATCATTAAGAGTACTGGTAAGTTGAAGGTAACGTGAACTGTACGTGTTTTGACACGATTCAAACCCACTGCAGACCAGAGCAAAGTACGTACATCAGAGAACCACATTTCGAGTTTTCGTTTGCGTACAATGATAGACATTTAGTAAGTATTCTCTTTTTAGTTTGAAATAGCTCGTCTAATAAGTGTATCTCACACGCATTCTACGATCTAATTTTGAGAACCTCCTGGAGTCTTATTCACCATCTAAAATCTACCCGAATTTATGAGCTGGATAACCGTTGCGAAATTGGATGTTTTTTTCCCGTTTAGAGCCGGCGGGGTCCTTCTAGAGGTGAGACACATCGCATACGTTCTCCAGTTAATCCTATCAGGGAACGGTGAAACAGGATGAGAAGGATACGATCTTGAATCAAGATGGAGCGCTTTGCGTTTTTTAAGGGTTTAGCGGCTGTAGCATATAGTACCGACAAAAAACCCAGAATTTATATTAACGCTAACTACAGTGAGCGGCGCTTTCTGATTCCATTGGATCTTCCATTTACAATAAGCAGGAAATATTCAACGTTCGAATTTGGATACACGAGGCGAGCACTGCGCATCAAACGTTCTCCAGGGTTATTTGATGTTATTATATAGCGTATTTAAATCTATTAGGCTCGCTAAGGTGAGCCAAATTGACCCGTTACAGGTATCCTCTATAGCTTTATTTCTAAGCAGACAAAAAAAACCTGTTAAATATTAAGGGATTGAACCGATAAACCAATATAAAAAATCATATTTCCTCTTGTACCAATCCCCAGACAAGCTTCGTACTCATATTTGTCCGTGTACGCAATACTGAACGGCGACAGAGCAGCCGCTTGGTGCCGCCTGACTCAAATTTATACTGACAAAACATCTACGAGCGACCGTTTGCTACCGTTTGTGAATCTTCAGCTCCTACATATAGAACAAAGAAGGAGTCTACATTGGACACCTTGTTCTCCCTTGAGTAACATATTTTCCTGAAATGCTGTATATACTGCAATAATACTAGCAAATCGGAAACTCCTCTATACAATATAAATTTCTCTCTGTCTACTCTGGATGTGCAGAGGTCGGCAGGGCTGGTGGTACTCGATTTCATCGCAAACTATAAGCCGATTTATCATCGACGGGTGATAAACGCATCCAGCTGCAAAGGAAATGTAGCCGTAGTATTCCCGTGCCATTATCCTTGTCTGATTTTACTGACTACGTGTTTCTGTCCTGGAATAGGCCTAGACATAAGAACAATATGCACACGTCGAGCATATTTACAAGATGAATGTTCAACAACGTTCACACATTCACATCTTTTTTACATTTGAGATATATCCTGTTGCCCTGATGCGTATTTCATAAATATTCCCTTGGATTTCTCGTGGAGATCATAAAAAGTTTTATAACAAACGCCATAGATCATGTTTTTTCTCGTAAAGATATATATATGCATAGAAAAATGGAGAGCTCGATTAATATTGTACAATTTGCCGACAATTAGGGGAAGGCAAGTTTCTTGATTAAACATCTTCAACAATATTCGGATCGTACGAGGTAAACTGAGTCATCTACAATAGACAAGTTAACCAAACTTCGTTTCGAAGTCCCACAAGTAAATTGGATCTCATTGGAGGTAACGTTCTGTGCTGTGTTCGGGAGCGAACGCTACCCACTGAGGCGATGACTAGTTCGAAAAGAACTACCAGCCAATTGAAAGGTGGAGCGGGCTGTACTCATTATGTAACGCATGCAGAAACCTGATTCAAGGTTCAATAGGCGTTGCCAATTCGTTTGTCTGCTCATTACCAAATATGCCAATTGGAAATAATGTTTTATCGTAAAAATAGTTCCAAGCTAGGATCGTGTATCTCAGATGACCACCATCATCTAAATAAGTTTTTCAACTTTAACAATATTGTTATTAAGCATCGCTTCAAACGATTCGTCCCTTTTAACCCAAAATGAAGTACGTCAACGTCCGATTTCGAATAGTTACAGAGGCGCTTTCGTTGTTCAAAATTCATATAAAATAATAAAGCATTGCGGGTCGTCAAGACAAGCCTTTCCGTCACGCACCCAATTCCAAGATATGTCGGCCCAAAACATCTGTGAGCCCAAATCCATCATACGCAATCTTTCTATGAAAAATAGGGGTGGATTTTTGTTGATTTATAGTGTTTGGTAGTCTGCTAATGAGCTTGTAGTGAATATTTTAGGTAAGCCAAAACTATCCTTAACTTCTCCTGGAAAATATGACATAAAGTGACAAACTTTTGGCTACCATTGAACTTTAATCCGCGTTCTAAATACGCACCGAATATGGGCAGGTCTTTTCATAGAAAACAATACTTATTGTGATATCGTCTTTTATTGTATATACTGTTCAATGCCCTGAGCTGTTATCGGATGCAGACATTTTACAGACAGAGTTTTTTAGCCTACGATTAATCTATCAAAGGGCACTGGTAGATAAATACTTCATGAAAAATAGAAATGAGTGACTCTAACGACTGAGGCCACGGTCTGTACTTTTGCTTTGATTGCCAACGCTTTATATGCATAGATGATTTATCGTTTATAGTGTCCTCGGTTTTGTTAGAAGACCCGGAGAATCTCCCAGTGAATTGCTTATCCGAAGAAAGTGACGGCTTCTATTCGTTAAGGCTCTTTTTTTTTACCTTGTCAGAAATTGTAACAAGGCAAATGGGTTTCATAATATCGTCCTGTGCGGAGTACCGCTGAATGACTCACGCGCGTTGCTCTTATCGCGTCTAGCATGGCTACTGCAGCTTTATAGTTGGGGTAATTCTTGGAATGACATCTTTGTCAAGCTAACCATTAATGCTCGTTACCTGTAGCGGCGTAGTTAATCGCGTACGATGTTGCTGCTACGTTAGTATGAACGTCGACGTTTTTCGCCCCCTTTCGCTAGACTCGACATATGTCATCGTCATAAACAATGCCCACAGTACCAATGCTTCACTGCGCAACACTCCAGTCCACAAATACCTGTCTGTACACCGATTTTGCCAATCACACGGGCTACTATAAGTCGGCACATGAACTCGCCCCAGGTATTTGTTTCGCGTTAGCGTCTAGCCGCGCCTTATCAGGATCGTTGTGCCCTCATTCTTACTCCTTTCGAGCTCGTTACTAGTTGGCTTTAAACGTATAAGTTTTCTCCGAGAACAGCCTCGAACCGTCCACCGATTGACCCGACGCGCCCTAGGATTTTACCCGCGGCAACTTCTTCGAAGCAGACGACGCTGACGCCTCTGAAGACGCCGACGGCAATGGCTGCAGCGGTTTCTGTACCATGCGTACTTTCCCGCGTCAATAGCAGTTGCTAAGAGCGCCGTTGCTGGAGGCGGCCACAGAATGTGCGCGAAGGGTAAGGATCTGCACAAGCGGCTGCTGTTCCGGCTGAGCCGCCCGTCCACCGCCGTAGACGCAATGTTTGTCTTGCTGACTGACTGACTGACTGACTGACTGGCTGGCTGGCTGGCTGGCTGGCTGGCTGGCTGGCTGGCCGGCCGAATCACTGCTCTATACTAAGAAATCTGTTTGCGCTGTTCGAGGGACCGCCGCTGTCGGAATCAACAGCAGTCTGTACTGTCCCGGAGACGACTGTCGCCGCTGCGGATTTGCACGATCGCTACTGCTGCTGCCACCGTCGTTGTTAATAGCGTTGCTTATAACAAAAACTACCACGATGCCAAGCAGAAAGTGGGAAAGAAGGACGTTTTCGGCGACGGCGGCAGCCGAACCAGTAGTTTTTTTATCGTAGCCGGCAAAGGCGGTCACGGTAAGCAGGAGCCGTCTTCTGCAGTTTAAATGTGCGAGTGCTGTGAAGAAGTGGCGGAAAGTCGTCTGTAGCGTGTCCTGCACCGCAGATTCGCGACGGCGCCATAGACAAACGGGCGACTGGAGATGGCGAAGGAGTACGGATTTCGATGAACCTCAAACTGTCAGAGACAAACCGAAATAACAACTTCGTCATTATTCAACTTAGGTCGTTGCATCAATAATGCTAGAATTATTTTACTGTGGTCGTCTATGCAAATAGAAGACTCTGACGTGCAAAAAGCGTGGTGAAGAAGCTACTTTGATTGAGAGGTGGCTCTGTCAGAAAAGTGTGGGAACTCAGAGAGCCATCTCGCGGCGGTGTGCTTGTTTCCGTGGATTACTTCGTCGACAATTCCTCAAAATCTGTCAGTGTAATTGAGTGAATGAGGGCAGTTGGAAAGGGATTGATCAGCATCTGAGCGAGAAACAGAAGGAAATTCCCGAACAATATTATTAAACGGATATTAGCGACCTGTTTTCCTCATCTAGTTAGTGGCCTCTTTTCGTGTGCACTACAGCGCCGATGTGCTCTCATTCATTTTGATGCACATTGTGCACATGTGAATATCGTGCTTAGCTGATCTTCGTCATCTACTTGTTATTGTTACCCGCTTTCTAACAGGATTTACTTCATTAGAAGATACAGTCTTCCTCCCTGCTTCTGCTGTTCTTCCAGAGAGCGTCAAAATTACTACTACGTCAAACGAAAATATACTCGAAAAAACGGTATCATTTGTCGTTATTGGTGAGCTTCGAATTTCGGATCGCAACATATACACAGGCATTCCTACATACACATACACACATACACGCATACGTTTTGATAAACACACACCGGCCATTTTTTCTTGACCCACAAGAACATCGGCGAGCCAGCAGGCTTTATTTGTCGGCATAGAGCAGGCTTTCCGTTTCTGTCACAAAAATCGTCGTAGTCGAAGAAGTACGACAATGTGTTAGCGAGCTAATATTGTTTTTACTTAACTTCCGTTGACCATCGACGGGTCGTCACCATCATTTGCTCTCTGTCGTAATAGCGGTGCCGTTCACGGTAGTGATGCTACTGCTGCTAGTCAATAACTATCTTCTATTTTTTTTGTATGTCCCTCTCTAGCGAATGTTACTACCGCCCGTGGTTCGTTCGGCCTTTTTGTTATTGTTGTTCCAGTCTTCGTCCCGACCTAGACGTTGCTTGTTGCTAGCGGATGCTGGAGACAAACAGATAGTCCGAGTACTGAATGGCCCGCTGAGCTAATAGCTACAAAGCTTTGGCAGCTGTTCAGCTCCTTGTCAGTGACGCTGTTCACTCGGCTGTTCGGTTTCGTATAGAGAAATCACCAATGCGAGCGGCGCCGCAGCGACAGCGACGGCGCCGCGGCGACAGCGACGGCGCTCGCACTGGTTAGCAGGACCAAGTCTAGGACGCTAGGACGCTCAGAGAAGTATTTTAACGTTGTTTGGTTTTGTTGTTCCGTCCTGGACGAGCTGCGATAATGTGGGCCGGCACTAGGCCTGAAAACAAAAGTGTGTCGCTTACCACGGCCACTCCTCGTGAAACTGTTGCTTGACAAACTCCACGAACGTACGTCCATCCGTTCGAGATCTACCAATGTTTTTAGTTAGCTTGATAGTTATAGACTCCAGTAGTCATCGAGAGTTATCGTATACAAACTAATGGACAACTAGGGCGACAAGAACGACGACGAGCTGTTCGAACGCGTATTTGTGCTTTCATTCGAAACATGGATAAACTTTATCTATGCATCGATGTGAATGTGTACAGCAAATCAGAGGCCAGTAGGGTGGTAATAATAAACTGATAGGACATCGCTAATTACCTTCATCAGTTAATATTGAACTGTACTACTGCTGATGTGCCTGGCCGACAAAGTGGCCAGTTGAGTCATCAGCTGATGACACTGACCGCTGACAAATCAAAATGCATCGCAATGGTTTCCCGTTACCCGTTAAGGCGCGACGGCCAAACTTCGCAGTGACTCAAAGAAATAGCAACCTAGTAGGCGTCACATGGCGATCGTGAACGTTTCAACGGCCCAGGAGGTTAGCGAACGTAAAGACGCGATGCGGAAGTATGCACTCTACTCTTCTCGAACTAAAGGAATCTCAAGGCTCATTAGAATAAAGACCGCCCGAACCATTACATTTCCTGTAAATTCGATCCTTTGATAAGCTGTATATAGACAGATATATAAGGCAGAATGATAGTCTCACAGCATTTTTGAACAAGTGTTTATTTAACTTTTTTAGCTCTTATCCACATTACATTTCGCTATATCGCAATTTTACCGAATATAAAACGCAGACCCTTGAACGGCTCTCTCTCTCTCTCCATTGATTGAAAGACCATTTTTGACCCAGTGGTCATATCCGTTGAATATAACGGCCGTTCATTGCGACTGGGTACGATTAGAGCTTTCCTTCAGGACTTGGGCTACTGCGTATCTTCAATGAATCGCTTGTTAGTTCTACAGATAACTTTTTATTAGACCATGTTCTAAGAACTATTGAAAGGTGTAAACTCATTGAAATATCCTAGACAAAGCCACGTGGAAGAAGAATGTTAAACAAATGAACTTTTGGATTGTTAACAGGCCAAAGTACAAGAATGCAAGTATTCGAAACGGCCAAGAAGCCGCAAAAAGACCGTTCGACCTTATCTGAAAAACTAAATCGGTAGTTGATGTTTTTTTTTTCAAAACGGCCGTTCATTTTTGTATATAGGAAAAAAAAAATCGAGATCTATCAGAAATGGTTCTTTGAGCGCTTTTAATTTTTTGAGCCCTTTAAATTTAAATCAGATTGATAATTTTCCTGTGTGCCTCATGAAGGCCTTCCTCAGATTTCAGAAGCCGTGAAAACTGGCAATAACGTAGATTGTCGATTCGGGACCAACAAAGAAATCTGTCCAACCCGTAGACATTGAATAATAGCTGACCTTCGCTCGACTTCCGAAAGAATGGTTTCGTTGTTTTGTTCTAGAAGAAAAAGATTAACTTCTTTCTGTTACCAAGAACACATGCCCATACAACAAACAGCCCTCCAATGTTTGTAGGTGCGTAACCTGTATATACCAGGCTATTTCCTTTTTGCTGACAAGGTCATGCTTAAGGCTTGTCAACTACTTCGCAGATGGCAGCTTTTGCATCAATCCACCCATTAACTATTTGGAGTCGCTTGCACCGACTGACTCTCCTCAACAAATTGAATAAGTTTTACTTTTATTTTAAACGTATTGCCTACGAACACCGAATTTTTGGATACTACTATGTATAGTTTATTCAAAAGAGATTTACTTCCTTGCAAAAATAGGTTACATGGCTAAATGTTTGAAGTTTTATGTACAGCACCGTTATTGCGCATTCCGTCAGACGACTCCGAAACGCTTGCATTCGAATGTAGACGGCGTCGTGTTCCTTAAGCTTAGTAGATAAACACGTTAGGCACTACGCCATTCGGGAACTAAGTTACACGATTAAATCAGGAACAAGTGCAAACTTCGTATGCTCTTCAAGCAGTCGGCTATCAATAAATAGGCATACGTGTGGCTGTAGCAACGGAGGAAGTAGAACAAAGACATGGAAGGCAGGTATTCTAAACTTCTCACCGTTGCTGACGACGCATTACCCTCAATGTAAATGGTCATACATTCTTCTGTCCCCTGTAAATACCCACGTCAATGAATGTTCCGATGTCGGTGACACCAGCTGGGGGTCGTTCTTAGTGCTTACTTTTTCTGCTCTAGGCTTTGCTGGGGTCTCGCATTGCTCCGGGGCCCGCTGGTGTTAGCCGATGTCGACCAGAGCTTGTCACAACTAGAAGAGTATCGGCGATCTGTCCCGCATAATGATAACGGATGTAGAAGATACCAACAAAGAATGGTAACCTTTCCATCAACAGTTCTTACCGTTGTTTCGATTTCGGAAGGCTCTAAAGAGGAAGACGAATAGAAGCATACCCTCACGTAATTTACAAAGCCATTGGAATGGACCATAAATAAGTGCAATATAGGTGCTATATAACTTGTGATTGCGTAACTATTTCACTTGAATACAATGAAATGATATCGTTAACTTATGACGTTTTCTCGAAAAGTCTGGACGCGTGGCACAGGCATCCTTAAGGATATACGTTAATGCAGAGAATTTTGGTCAAGGGTAGCTTGCATGCAAATTGTTCTAGTGTAAATTGTGTTTCTGTGTGTACTTCTATAGTACGAGCAGCAACATATAAAGTAATTAAGCCTAGAGATTGTTGCGCAGGCCTTTACGGAGCTTGAGGATTATCTACTTCTACTAATGATCTTATTAAGATGCAAAATCACAACAGAATCATAATGAACTGCGGTGACGTTGTCTCTCGCTTTGAAAAAAAATACTTTTAGATCTTCCTAAAATCTAGTTGTAGAATTTTAAACGGTTCCCACATCACAAAAAAAAAAACAAACAGAACGTTAAAAAATGAGTCTAAAAAGACTGTACTTTGTATGTATGCTCGTTAGTATTCAACATACATTCTCATACTCTTCCGCAGTGTTCTATATCATGGCCTCGAGAGATTCCTTCATCAGCTCCTTCAAATCACTTCAAAAAAATTAACTGTTTCCAATTTTCCTACCGGCCTTGTAAAAGTTCCTTTAGCACTACCTCTAATCCCGGATGCACAGTAGCCAATTGCTATAGGCTGGGGACTTCTCCTAATTTATACCATTCGCTAAGATTTAAGCTATGTTCGAAAACTTAACCCCTATTAATCCGGCCAAAAATTCTATCCTACTTCCATTTCTGAACACAATATACATGAACACATATGGCGAGTCTGCTATGATTTTGCTGGGTCTTTGTCTGCCAATCTGTACACATGCATTCGTATATCTGGTTTAAATCATCGACGTCGAACAGCCACGACGGGGTCTTACCTGCGCCTCAGAGGTTTAATTGCGGCAGAAACAGCCCGACTCACCCATTTAGCGTACGCCCTACCCCAATTAGTTCGATTAGAGTGGAAGACGACGGTAACTGTGCAAAATCAGTGTGGCACTTAGCTTTCGAAGTGGGCATCATGGCCACCATCGAAACGGCTAGTGGTCTCTGCTGATTGACTTCAGCAATCACAGCAGAAGTGTTATAACGACTGCATAGGTACCGTAATTAACGTCAATTTTAAGCGAAGACGATGATGACAATAGGATCGTACGGTGGTGAATATGGTGGTGTTGGTAGCAAGAAAAAAAAATACCCAAAAACCTTAACCGGCAATCAGCACAGAACTGCGATTGATTGAGTTCAATTAATACCGAATTTTCTGTTCAGCCGTTCGTTCGATTCTATCCGAGTGACCCACTGCTACTAGGCCTGATGTATGTATGTATGTGTATCTACAATGATAGCCCATTAGTCTATGGCTACCGTGCTGCTCTAATGTCGTACTAATCATAAGAATATGCGTTTACTATATTATAAGGTTGTGCGTCCCGCAGAAGTATATGTGCATACCTGTCTATTGAAAGTAGCTGAACATCGAAGAAGCGCCTGTATCACGTTTTCAAAAGCTTCACGATAGATATACGGTAACTGCTATTGTTGATGCAGGAAATCCACTATATTTCAACGATGTACATACACGCTCATGCCGACTGAGACCCAGACGAGGTCCACACCGATGGCGACGGGCCTTCTGCGGTCACTTCGGGCCTTCGGCTCAAACTTCGGGACATGGCCATTCCTATTCGTTCCACGGTTTTGTCCGCTGGCAGTCATGACGACTATTATAGTTTCCGTCATGCGCCGCCGGTTAACTTCGGTCCGGTTCGATCTGCGATCGAGCGGACCATCCCGGTTCACTCCGACTGCCATCACTTCTATAGCTCTTGGTATGCCGCCATGATCTTATCTGATGCATTGCGGTAATTGAGTTGCTGGGAATATCCGTGCCTTTGCGCTGCTGCTGTTGCCAGAAGTCTTTTCCTTCTTTGTCGGTGTCCGAAGTCGGAAGCAGCAGCAGCAGCAGAAAATACAGAGTGGAAACACAAGGGTGGCAGTAGAGAGAAAGGGAACTGTGTCACTATTTATTTCGAAGTTCATTGCGAGTACTGCTGGCCAGCGTACCGGTCGGCTGCGACGATCGATTTCTCACTGCGTCCGTAATAAACGCTTACGCGAGTGTCGAGCAGTGTTTTTTTCACCGCTCAACGAACAAATGCTAGCAGCCGAGCGCTGGATGCACTCCGAGCTGCGCTAGGAGTGATCGTGCTGTTGAAGTTGGCTATAGTTACTGCAGACATTACTATTTACGGGCGCTGATCGAAACCCGCTAGGCAGCTCCAGAAGACCTCTTGTATACTGGGTCGAACTGGCGGGCTGTTATTAGACCTAATAGAGCACTATGAAAAGCGCTCGGCAAAGTAAGCAAGTGAGCCTACGATCATATCGTTACTGTACTAGGTTGTCCCGTCGTCTCGGTCCATTTCCATGGACAAATTGAGCATTGCCACTTGCTGATTACCAGTGCTTGCCTGCCTGCATCGTCTAGGCCCTACCACCAACTAGCAAACGCGTTCATAAATAGCTTTCATGGCATTACTTAAAGTACCACTAATTAAAGTGGAATATGAAGTAAAAAGACAATTACCCTATTGAGAAATCGTTGTGCGCTCGGGTTTTATAGAACGGCTGGCCAACTCGTACTGACTGAAATAACGTGACCACCATCCTCGTAATTCTTGAAACGTTACCGAAATCAGCTCGAGGCAATCAGCTGAATTCAATGGCTTCCTGATTTTCTGCATGTGGCCTGTGGTGCCTGATTCCGACGAAAGTCATTCCTATACAATCAAAAATTGCCAAGCATTTAATTGCGCGGTTCTCTCAATGACGTCCAACTGGGCATTACTGATTCCATTCATAATAACAGCAAAAAAGGCGGTGTCCAAAGCGGATTTTTGCCATAAGAAGATCTCTTTGAAGAAATCAACCTTACAAAGAGGACAGAGGGCAAATCCCAATCGGCGTCGAATTTAAGTCGTCAAGTTCGTTCGATCGAACTCCGAGGGCCGCATCGGCCGCTTGTCACACTGGAATTAAATCAGTATTACCTCATTCACTCATTGAGATCACAATAAAATCGATCGAAGCGTGCCGACAAACGTAGGTGTTTCACATCAACAACAGACGGTGTACAGATTTTTTTTTGGCAAATGTTCATCTATGACTGTTTAGAAGACCACGTTCTACTATCCGGTCAAATCGCGTATATAACTATATTTCGATGGGGCTGACGTTTCGACAGTTGTTGCTAAATTATTTCGGGGAAAATATATTTTTTCTTGTCAAAAATTGTTTTCAGATCACTCAACGTGCGCCTATACTTTGCCTGTTCAAGTGCCTGTTGAAGATCTGCGTGGTCCATTTGGAACTTCATCGAGGTGTAATAACGCTATAACTGTAGTGGCAATATATGAGCGAATACAAAGCTAATGTAAATCTATTATACGATACGAAGCTATCATCGTTTATCTTCAACTAGATGGGGTCTATTTCAAATCCCGTTCCCCCGTTGGCCCCGATAAAGTAGACGCGTCCGACTCGTGACGGATCGTTTTTACCATTGTGCTAACGATTTCTAAAAGTAAAGCAAAGCAAAGCAAGAATCATAGTACTCATCAAATGTTACGGAACTGGAATTGAGCGCATTGACTTGTCTGTCGCGTTTATTTATAATCGTCTGCTGGGCGTAACATTTCCACAATTTTCGCCCTTCATACTATTGTCTATGGCCGTTCACCAAGCCGTCAAATAGCAGAATCATTATGGTGTCAATCGAAGAAAAAGGCAGTATTTTGTTAAATCATCGTACAATCGTATTGACTTTTCAGTCCACTGCCTTCGGGAGTGAAAAACCTGCTGTAGCCAGATCATCCAACATCGTACCAGCTATTACAGTCACATCTATGGTAAATAGCCGATCCCGATCTTATTATAGTTTGCATCATTTTCATAGGAACCTGACCAGCACCGACAGATTGGAAAGGCAGATTAGGTCTTTTTTGTTGTTAACCTACTGCTCGAATGCAGCCCCTACGGGGATGTAAATTGTCGACATCGCCCAGAGTGTTCTTGTCACGGTGTGATGACGTATGCACGTGCGGCGAGACGATGAACGCCGGTTCGGCCCTCCAACACCTGTTTTCCTGTCAGGAATCTGTTCGTTTTGAGCTCTGCTGGCGCGTCGTGTTTACTACAATGTACTGACAAAGGGAACTGCGTCCGCCTTCCGACAAATGCCGTATTGACCGATAGGTTGCACGCAGATGTGCGTCACCTGCAACCCATTGGACCTCAGTTGACGCGTTCGTCTTACTGATACTGTTGTTGTCATTGTGACCACTTCTATCGTTCTTAGTTTAACGTAAACGATTTACATGGACGTACCATCTTGCGTAAACAGGGTATACATACAACATTATATGTCTGTGTTTACAGACGGTGCTTAATATGTAATTAACAACAGTACTTTTTCTATCGTTACCGAAAATAGTATGGGTCTAAGTTGTGAGACACTGCGCTATGCTTACAGAATGTTTAAAAAAAAATTTGTCAACCCAATCGGTTTTCAAACGTCTTAGGTATTATTATTTGAAAGATATGATTCGGAAGAAAGTTGTACGCTGTTTTCGTTTGCAGTTTACCGTGAGAAAAAGTAACTTGATGCTGTGTAGTAAGTAACTGTCGCCGGAAGTTGATGTTGGCCCACCTGGGTTTGATCCCGCTTGACATGAATTAAACCGAAATATCAGTAGCCACCCACTGTTGACTGTAATGGACGGAACAACCCGCTGTTTTAGCGAAATTTAATAATAATTTCGACCGATGTGGGCGAAGTTATCGTGAAGAGTAAGCAGTTTTTTATGGGTATTTGCTATTGCACAAGAGATATTGGCTACTAAAGATGTATTGTAAACACTATGTAGACATAAAACACTTCCAGGATACCACGATTTGAAATCTACTGTCAAGACAACCCAAGTTAAACGCCGGGGAATAACGGTAAGAGCAGTTCGATTGCGGGCCAAAGAGCTGCCTAAATAGAAGGCGACTGGCGGACATGAAATCACCTGTCTGGTTAGCTTGCGAATCGAACATTATACTGAAGATAGCTTTGCGTCACGTCACGTCACGTATGACGTGTTTCGATTTGTCAAGTGATATTCTTAATACATGTTAGCTTCGATTGCCACTAATTAATTTGGCCATTAGAAATTCTTCTTTACAAGTTCACTTAAACGTTATTGTGTCCTCATTGAACTTTACGCCATCGAAACGCTATTGAAAATTTACCTGTAGTTATAACTCTTTAAAGATTAGTCATGTTAGACAGACACGATAGGCTATACAGAATATATAAACAAATCTAATGTTAAGCTCTGTTTCAATGTTACATTATGTATATTTATAATATTCTTCTATTTGTGTTTTCAAATTTTTAAAAACAGCTGTATCAAATAGTGGGCTAAGGGCCGTATATAGCTAAAAGAGTTTTTTTCTGTATAGCTTCCGCCAATGAAAACATTATAGGTTTGCTCTCTTTATCGTGAACTATATCGTCATGGTACATCTCGCCAAAGGCCCACGAGGCCTCGCCAGCTCCTTAGTGGTGTTATATTGTGATCCAAAATTCGAAGCGTCCTGTTTAACTATTCGCTCTAGCCAAGGGAGTATTTTATTATAAAATCGAGTTGGAGCGTCATAGTCTACCTGATCGCATGATATGACCCTGCTTCTTAATATTTATTTGTGAACGACCGTTTGTTTTGGGTGCAGGTTACAGGAGCAGAAGTCGTACATCGTTTAGATAACGTGTCATGTTATTTCTTGGCTTCATTGTTTTGATCATGGTAGTGGCAAGCAACGTCCATTCATCGTGAGTGCAGTATCCGCCCGCGATACACCGCGTCTTCGCGATATTCCGCTCAGGCTTGATGCACACCGAATACGCGACTCATAGTGTCCTTAAACAAAAGAGGAAAACACTTTCATCGGTGATTTTACGTCAAAATTACATCAGCTGTTTGAGATCTTTCGCCTGGACAGGAAGTCAACATCAACGTTACTAGCGCGCTAGGTTCCCTGTTCGTGAAAGTTTTGCCTCACAAGATTAGGTGAAGCTCGTACCACGCAATAGCCTAGGAGCGTACTCGAATCCGCGGTAGGATGTGTGGGCCAAAGGTGCGCAGCTGACAGCGTGGCTACTGAATATCATCTTGCCGTGGATGTGGGGCGCGCGCATGGAAAACATGCGTCCAAAACAGATTCTTCTCCATTGCGCCCCATATCTAGGGACCTATATTGCCTTAGTAGTGTGTGTGTCAGTGGGGATCATCATCGCGTCGATCGGCGTCACGTTAGCTCAGCCCAGCATAGACTGTGAGTACCGATGCCACATTATTGAACAATATTGTATATTAGCTCTGTAAGGCGTTGCATGTTCTTGATTTTTTCTATAATATCATAACCTAAAAAAATTCAACTCGAAGGACAATTCATGGTAGGAGCGACATTTTGAGAATTTTGCGCAGATATACTACTGCAGTACTATTATTCCACTGGAGCTTCTTTTTATTTCAAGCCAGAATGTTCTACATTTAATGCTACTGTTCATATATATATTTGAATACAATATCTTATTTTAACCTCTAGATTTTAGATATATGTTATGTTGTAAGTCAGGCTGGTGCTATTTCATAATAGTGCAACATTTTACGGCACGTTATACTCAAAATGTACATGTACTTTTAGAAATCGAAGACTTTTCGCTCAGATGTCGTCACTCGGGCTTTTAGCAGACAAGTTGTGATGAGCCTTAGAAAATCAGAAGATTCAAGTAATTTCCGAATAAAAGTTATCTCAACTCGCCGTATACATTTTGCCCTTAGTAAAAGTCCTATACAACTAGAACGCAGTGAGCCGTTATTTCAAAAAGGCCAGGAAGCAAACTTGAAACTCCAACCCAACTTGAAACCCACTACAAAGGCAAGTACTAAAGGCTAGAGAGCCGTGTTGGAAGTCTCTCATCTCAAAGTACACTTAGGTGAATGTATATAAGAATACGGTACCTGCTAACCTCGGTAATAGGTTAAAAAATTCAACAAATGGGTAAGGTAGAGAGGCTTGCTTCTCTCACATTACCATTAAGTACTAAACTGTGACTTGTGATAAAAATGGGTCTGCTACAATAATCGCGGACAGTCAGGTCAATGGGTGAACGCGATTGAACCGCTGACAGATTAGCTTAAAGCAAATTTACAGCTGCAGTGGTGTGTAAATGATGGGTTGATGCAGCTTGATGAATCGGTCACAATTGAAGTGCACTGCTATCAGTTGGAAACAAAAATCAAAACGTCATATTTTTTACACAGAGCTAACACACCACTGCAAGATAACTCTTGACTTTGCACTGCAAGAGTCACCATAACAAAAATGCAGGACATAGTTGGAGACGCTATGTCATCCATCACACTCGGCATACATGTAGCAGTTGTCTCTCGAAACTTCCCAGACATCTGCGACAGACAAATAGAAATAATGTACATATATACTTTAATCGAACATAGAATAACCAAGAGAAAATCAGGGCTTACTATGTTATATACCGAACGCGTATAATTAGTAGTTTAGGAGCGAGTTTATGTTATTTCAATTGCCTTACAAATAAGCGATGTGACCGTTACAGACTCCTTGATGGACATTGACTCTAAGTAATATACTAGTGAGCGTTGGCTCTGTTACATGTTCTCTATTTGTGTGCGTTTGTTTGTGACTAAAATAAAGCTGTGGACATCAGTCCTCGCGGAGATCCAACGGAACAGAAGAGTAGTATCAGCCCCAGTACAAAGCATACGCCATTCAAAGAACTGACCAAAACAATGCTTGATCTCCGTGCTGGTGGAAGTTGTAGTAGAAATAGGAAAAACACGAAGCCACTGCGGGCGCTAGTGGTATATACCTAAGGCCTAGCGATGCGCGAACGATGCTACATCGTCATAATAATCTTACATATCTTCTAGTCACGTTTTCTTGTACACTGCAGAGCTCATTTCATATGATGAACGCTATATATATATCAAATCGAACGGCAAACCGTTTAAGTTAAGGTAAAAGCTTAGCTATTGCACTACACATGCGCACATCTTCTTTTAAGTTCTAGTTATACGTAGATAGACGGCTATTAAGTCCTCAAAAGTGATGTAGCCTAAATGTATTCTTAGATTGAATAATGCTGTGGATTTGGCCACAGTCACCTAAATGTTGCTAAAGACAAACCATTTTATGTAGACACAACTGTCGTTGGTGAATCCTAGATATTGGCGTTTTCCTCGAGAATTTATTGCCGAGCACTTTTTATACCATTGCGTTCTTCACAGTCCCCTGGCCATCACCCGACACTATATGAGAACACATCTGAAGTAAAATGGCATGAGATTTTATAAAATCTAGCATTGGGATCTAGCTGGCAATTATCGCCAACGAACCGGCCCACTATCCAAAGCCTTTTCGTCCCACTAATGAAGGCCTTTCAGAATTCAATGCAACCTCAACCTCAAGGCAACCTGTGTCGTATGTACGCTTTGGCCCTAATCTAGGTCTAGTAGGAGTTCCAGTTAGCAATCGCCGGCACGTACTATACACGTCCTAGATGTAGCGCTATCAGCAGAAACTGTCGCTAAGTGGGATACTTGGCCGCCAAAGCTCACTCCCCTTGGAAGCACGCCTGCTACGAAACGAAATTCCTCTTTTCAGGGTTCTCCTTCCAGTGCTTAATTCTGATAATTGTCAGTTGAATAACGTTAAGGTTGTCTTAACAATGGCAGAGTAGGCAGATGCAGGAAGGACTATCCCCTATACTACCCGACTACGGTCCCTGACCATTGCTCCTTTCTCCTCCTTCCCTTTTTTCTTTACACACCCCCGTCAACTAGTCTTTAAGAACTTGTTATCAGTTACACAGTTATCAGCAACCCTAACTAGCTCATCTTAAATGCGCGTACCGTGGCGTATACTGTGTAAGACTTAATGATGAGGCTTGGAATGCTTGCAATTCTTGGGGCGAGATTCGTCTGCTTTGGCGGCCTATTTTGAAGATGGAAGGTAACGCGGCGCCAATAGCAGCAGAAGCAACTTTAAATGCATCGCTTTATTCAAGTGATTGAGATGAAAGAATGTTGGCTGAATCACGGAATGTAGACGACCCTGAGGGGAGTGGCAAAATAAGTCTAGTGATAGGAGGCTCAGGGCGAAACGAAGGGGTTTTTGAAACAACGAGACTGAAGAAAACAAGAGATAATTTAGTGCGGTTGAACGACCTGGGCTACGCAACCCTTTCGCAGTACGTCTTGCACCTGTGATGGCGGACACGGCGGCGGCATCATCGGTAGACACTAGCCTAAATCTGCGATGTAGGCGAAACCTCTTGAGATAAATTTTTTAGTCTCGTGCATGTTAGCAGCTAATCAACTGGCCGACGGTTGCTTCGTACATGGTAACGGTAAAAGGGGTAAAGAAAAGAGGCGGTGAGGAAGCGACGTTGGGGGAGAGCAGCACGCAGACGCTTGCAGTCGTCGAGATGAGAAGGGGCTGTATCCTGCTAGGGGAATCTTTGGGAAACGTTAGCGCTAGCCAGCAGCCCTACTGGATATGTGGGCGCAAGCGAGGCATTTTGCGAAGGAGACTATGCCACTCCATCAAGTGCATGTACAGACGCGCAAGAAAGACGGCCGGCTGGTCGCCCGAGTATATTTTGGGGATGCTGTGTACTGTAGAGCAAGGCAAGGTATAGTTTATTCAGTAGTAGGCTGTGATGGCTTGTAGTGAAAGCTGGCGTAGGAGCTCACAAAGTCGAGTTAGTCCGTGTCAAAACTCCCTACCTCTTTTGTGAATCTATCCAGGCTAGGTCTATCGTTAGGCAGCATTAAAGCGAGAACGAAGCTGCCTATTATGAATACGTAAGATCTTTACCTCAACGCAGTGGCAACGAGAACGGCGCCACGCGCCATATACTACCCTTGTGCTAATGCCCCAGAGGGGTGAGGGTGGCGTTATCAAAGTGACGGGGGTACGACGGCATCGAAGGAGCTAACGCTCGCGCGTGGTTCACTCTCTAAACTCTGCGCGTAGACCTACGTATAATATTATGCCGCCTGTTCCGAGGGGGATTTTTCTCATTTGCTGTGCCTACAGTACCCTTCTTATTACTGTTGTATTAGTTCCGCTGAAAGTAGAGCCAAAAAAAAATCTGGCTGTGATGAAAAAAATTAACCCGACACTAGTTGTCAAATTATATTTTATTTGGGAATGCTTCATTATTTTAGGGCCCAAATAAACGGTATCGGCATAGAATAGTGCAACGCAACAAATTTGCCGCAGTGAAATTGTCATCTACAAAAAAAGAAGGCTCGGTAATTTATACTAGCGGGTATTGTGGAATCTGTGGCAGCTACATAAAGTTGCATTCAAAGTATGCTTTACTGAAAAGCTGAGTCCTTCTTAATGGACTGCCTCTATCTTACACAGATAATTATATTTTTCCTTATTTTACACGAATTCTGCGTCACGTATCATTAGTCGGACTGAAGAACGAATTGCCCCTGGTCTGATTTCAACCAGAAACTTCACCGCCAACTCATCGTGTCAGCACAGTAATTTGCGTTGACTGCCCCAAAAATGTTTCGCTTTTTACCCGATAATGTCCTAGCGATAATGATGTAAGTAACCTAGAGTACAATACGGCCCTGAACTTTATATATAAAATGCATTCTCCCTATTTAAACTTATGTTACCGAGAAGAGTGCATTGAACTATCGGCTAACTTAGACGCTAGACATCGTTGTTTCGTAATATGGTGAAAGCCTCGTAGTTCAAGTTTCGTAAAGTTGATAAACTTAAATGTAAAAAATACTCATCTATGAGATATATGTGTTATTTCGTCGTTTACTCCTTCTCGTTTCGTACTCAATGACAATTTTAGCTAGTGGCTTTCTTCGCCACTTAATTTCAATTGCAAGTTACTATAGAAGCCGCCTCTGCAGGGACAACGTCATCACAGACCCCCGGGCATATTGGCTTTTAGTAATGGTGACCAATGGCTGTAACGAACAAGACACGGTCGTGTCTAACCGCACGAATGCCGGTCAACAGAGACATTTTTACATTAGCACGATAATATTGGCATCCGTTAACATTACCTATTCTTCTACAAATACGTTTTAAATTGAAGACCTTTTTTTTTTTGACTTCTTTACTTTTTCTACGCCAGCCTCTGCTCTCCTGATCGCCGACAAAAGTTCTTGATGATATTTTCACTCGGGCTGTTTGCCGTCGGCGTTGCTGTAGCTACTTCTGCTATTACTTATTAATAGCCATCGTGCTCC